TTAGGGTGTAGGGTTTAGGGGGCTTGGGTTCAGCCTTGCGGGATGCAACGGGTTGAAGCTTCAGGCTTTCCCAGAGGATGCGGGTGGACTGCTGTTCTTCAGGAGGTTCGGTTTAGGCCCTATGCCCTCATGCCGAAAAATGCTACCAGCAATAGTCATCGTGATAGAAAGAAGAATAGTTATCTAATTGAGAATAATCACGGTACTACTGATAATATTAGTAACAGTAGTATATAATAATCACGATAATGACAATAATGATAGCGATAGTAATGACAACAGAAAGAATTAACACTAACATGAAAACAACCATATGAACGACAGTGATGATAGCTATCATTGCAACGGCAATGATGATAATGAACATACTAATAGTACTAACATGAATCCTAGCCCCACAAGCCCCAACTCTCCTTCTGAAGCCAAGCCGCATCAATGCCTCGTTGAAGCAATTTCGGGTATTGTTCACGTACCTTTGAGGTTTCGGAATTTCAGATTTGGGTTTAGGGGCTTGGGCTTTAGAGTTAAGGGGTTTGGAGATTGGCACCTGACGTTACTGCCACCTTTCTGCTAAGCTCGCATTTGATCAACATAAAATTTCTTGACGGAGCATGTTGATGGGATGCTCATACCGGATACTACTTCATAATGTTTTGTTGAACAGCCCTCTAAACGACTGTGCTTTTCTGCATCGACCTGTCAGTAAACTGTTCGGCTGACTACAATAACGTATGTTGTGGTCATGCAAGAGTTTGGAGTTCCGAGCACCGTGGCACGGACAAGCCTGCCTGACCCTGAACCCTGAGTAAACCCCAAACCGAACCAAAACCCTACACGCAAACTGCAAAGCAACGCAACACAGACCAACATACTCTGACGAATGTAAACCCGAGACGGTGGGACCTTCAAAGACCCCTTACACCTGAAGTACGGTGAGGAGTCCCGGTTGAGAGGAAACAGCCCCGAAGGGGTCACTCGACGATCTCCAGGAGTGTCTGGCGCTTGGCTTCCTTCTCCTGATGAAGAAAAATGGAAAAGGACAGAAGAATTCGGGGCTCAGGGTTAAGGGCTTACAGGGCCCACTGTGGCGACGTCTGATCTTTGCTTTGTCAGATAGGCTTATGCTACGGCTCTTTTATGTCCTATAAGGGGGCGCAGGAGTTGGCTCAGGGGTAATGGTGAGTCTATTAATACAAGGCTTCTTAGGCATAGCGGGGATCCCCCTGTCTGGCTTTAAGTTACGTAAGATGTATGGGTTTAGTGTTTAGGGTTTGGGGTTTGGGGTTTAGGGTTAGGGGTTCAGGTGTAGGGTTTCCAGCATGGGAGTATCAGACAATTGGAGGGCCCTTGCTGGGGGTCCTTAAAATAAAATTATCAGTGTTCTGATGCTCGGGGTCTCTTTTGGGGCCCGTTGTTTTGTGAAATGCCTATGCGTTCTTCGCTCACAACTTTAAACCCTAAAGGCAAAACGATTTGGGAAAGTGTGCTCATGTCGGGAGGGACGGTAATCTCGGATTCCTCAGGGCTTTAGGGTTGATGGCTGTGAGGTTTATGGGTTTAGCTTAGGCCTTATGGGGCGACGGGTAACGGCGTGGATAAAAGTCAGATGTACCAGGTCTTATCATCGGCCTCTTGTATTTCCTGCAAGGTAGGGGGCCGGTCAACATCACACTAAACCCAACACGACATCCCAAACACCGAACAACATAGATATCCAAATAATGAGTAAGAGTACCCCTTAGAGTCCTCATATTGCAGCATAACAGACACTGCTCATACCCCCCAAAATCCGATTCTGATTGCAATGACGCCTCGAAGCCTGCAACCTCTAAAGACCCTCAGCACAGTCAATACCCTATCAGTACCAAAATCCGTAAAACCTAAAACTAAGCTGTGAAATCTTTACCAAAAACCTGTATGCAACCTTAAAACAACGCCCGTCTGCTAAACCTTCCCATGCTAAACCCCACAAAGAGTAGAGAAATTCTGAACAACCCTATGAGACCCCTACACAGCGTAATACAAAAAATAAAAACCCCTACCCCCCGCGAGCCTTCTGGTTGTTGTCGTTGTGGAAGTCAAAAACGACGGAGCAGACCTTCCAAGATGCTAAAGCGCGCACCAGAGGGGATCCTATTGCTAAGTACACGGCTTCTAGAAGTTTGCAAGATGGAACTGACAAGACAGCCGGATGATGACCACGACGATGATGACCATGATCATACATACATCCATGCATGCATGCGTACATAAATACGTGCATACGCACATACGTACATACATGCATACATGCATACATGCACACATGCATACATGCACACGTACCTTTCCATGCATTCGTCAAAGGGTATGTATTCTTGGACTTGCACTCATGTTTGTCTCACAAGATGTTCTTACTCATATAAGTGCTTGGTGAACACTCTGTCTATAGACATATGATACAGAGGTAGAGGTAGAGATAGACATAGAGATAGAGAGCGAGAGAGAGAGAGAGCGAGAGAGAGGGTGAGCGAGAGACATAAACAAAACCTAAATGTACACACACCGCCCTACACTTCGTTAGGGCCTCCATCTTCTTGCGGAAAAGGTCGGTGCGCTCCTGTGGTGGTGCCTGCGAGCTCCGAAAAAGGGGTTTGGGGTTTAGGGGTTTAGGGGTTTAGGGTTTAGGGTTTACAGGTTTTGGGGATAAGGGTTTGGGGTTTTGGGGTTTGGGGGTTTTGGGGTTTAGGGGTTTTGGGGTTTTGGGGTTTTTGGGTGTAGGGGTTTTGGGTTTGGGGTTTAGGGGTCTAGGGTTTGGGGGATTAGGGGTTTTGGGGTTTAGGGGTTTTGGGTTTGGGGTTTTGGGGTTTTGGGGTTTAGGGTTTAGGGGTTTATGGGTCTAGGGTTTAGGNNGGTTTAGGGTTTAGGGCTTGGTTTTATAGAACCTATATGGGGGCTCCGGCGCTTACGGCGTACCTTGGGGTCATAGTCTTCCTAGTTCTAGGCTCTTGCATTCTTTAAACCGGGGTCGTGACTTGATGAGACTGGCGGCTCGTAGGAATGCAAACCCTGAACCTTTCACCGGCTGAA